CCCCGCCGTGGGCCACATCAATGCCCCCCGCCCCGCACCACCCCCTGCCCTGCAGCCTGCGCCACCCCGCCCTTGCTCGTCACCTGCCCAACTCACCCCCTTCCGCCCCGCTCCTGCACCTCAAAGCCCATCCCGTCGCACCTCCGCCCCCCAAACCTCCATCAATCACAGTTGACTACATCCCGGAGCTCAAGTGGGCCGCAGGCTACGCCTACTTCTGGAGCGTGTGCGCCTGCCTCCTCACCATATCCATCACCCTGCTGATCGTTTTCGACATCATCGAGCCCCCCAAGTGGCTGACCCGCTTGCCCCGCGACGCCCGGCGCTGGCTGTGGCGGGTCGCCACCTGCCGCGCGCTGCGGCGGTGGGCGAGGCGGCGGGAAAAGAGGCGGAGGGCGGGCGGCGGCAGCAGCGGCCGCGTGTGAGGGGCTTGCTTTGGCTGGCTGGGGGTTGAGCCGGGATTATGCAACAGTTGTACATGCTTCCTCATCTTGCAATTGACTATCATTTGACCGCGAGGTCATTCTCACTGTTTCTATGCTGTGCGCCAGCCCGTGCTGTTACTAAGCTGTGCGGAGAGCCAGACTGCCCTACATCTCTGCACCGCTTGTTGACAACATTCCTAAACATGTCCATGTCCGCGTGCGGTTGGTTCTCGCACATGCACACATGTTTGCCGGTGCCATCCATTTATCAGCGTCTGCGACAGAATGCGCATTTCTTCTTCGCGTGCACATGTAAGCAGCGCCAAGGTCCAGACGCCCAGCCGGCAGCCAGTTTGCTGGGATGGTGCTCAGCGCGACCGGCGGTCAAACCCGCCCCAGGCGGCAACTGGCTCATCATCCTGTGACGCGCGCGTGCTGCCTGAGAGCGTGGGTTCCAGGTGACACCCGCCCTTCGCTACGGGCGGGCTCGTGCTGCCACTGGAGCCCGATGCCCATCACCACCGGCTGCATCAAAAGCACGACGATTCCAAACCTTCGCAGTCAAAGACGCATCGAACCCGCGAAGTCTCAGGCAGAGCTTTACACCGCCTCCCGACCCGCGCGCCGCGGCGTCGCTGGTCCCAAGGAGGGCGTCCCCAGCGCCAGGGCCGCCGCGCCGCGGCGCTAGGTGTGGAATGTGGTGTGCGTGAGCACCCAGACGACCATGAAGCACGACATGGACAGGGGCAGGCCCTCCGACATCAGCTCCTGGCTCGCGTTCTCCCAGTCGTCGTCGCCAATGCTGCTCGCGCGGGCCGGGGCGGCAGGGGGGGACGTCGGTCGAGAGGGGCGGGACGTGAGAACAGCAGACAAGGTGCGGCCGGCGGGTTTCGACCACGCAGGCACGGACCTTTTCTAGCGCCCCCACTCTCCGCCACCGCCCGCTCGCTCTGGCAGCGCTGCCAGGAGCGCGCGGGCTCGTGTCTGCCCTTTCTGGCAGCCCACTCCCTAACAGGGGCATGCCAGCGCCAGCGCGAGCGCCGTCCCGCCTCCCACCCCACCCCATCCAACCCCCCGCCCCCATGGCCCCACCCCATGACGTTCTTGTGGAGCAGCGTCACCAGGGCGATATTGAGGAACAGGAAGCTGCCAGAGGGGCGATGCGACGGTTGGAGCCAACGGGTCGTGGACGAGGCTGAGCGAACGCAACAGCGTCATGCAGTCTGCCAGGCGCGGCGTAGCAAGCGCCGCCCCTCACCAAGCCCCCTCTGCGCTCGTGCGCCCGCCGCCCGCCTGCCGCGCCCGCCAGGCGCGCGCCGCTTGGAGGGCCCGCCCGCGGCGGGGCGCTGCGCGCGCGTGCCGCTCACCTCGCGAACCCAAGGAGGCCGGGCGTCTGCAGGTAGCCCCACACAAACCCTGCTAGGACGCCAAACACCTGCCTCAGCCAGTAGATCAGATCCAGGGCCTCGTCCTGGCATGGGTAAGGGGAAGGAGGGCGCGAGGCGCGGCTTGCGTCGGCTGGCGGGCGGGGGGAGAAGGGGAGGGCGCGAAAGGGTGGGCGGGCGTGCGACGGCTGGACGGGGAGGTTGGTTGAGGCGCGGCAGAGCGCGCGGTCGGGTGGCTGGTGGGAGCGCATGCTATGTCCGCTCGGGTCGCGCGCCACGGGATGTGCTGGTTGGGTGGCTCTGAAGGCGGACTCATCAAGAGGCAAGGCGGCGTCGATTGGTTTGACAACGCGAGGTGGTCGGCCACGCGGCTCAGCCGCCCGCACCTTGTCCCACTCCGCTGCGTCGCCTTGAAACAGCTTCGCTAGGACGGCCACGATCTGTGAGGGTTTCACTACGCCCCCATTTTTCTTAACACCGCCATTGCTGCTGCTGCTGCTGCCGCCACCGACCAGTGCTTTGGGCGGCATGGCCGCGTTGCTGCTGCTGCTGCTGCTGCACCTGTGCTCGCCAAAGCCGGACCTCTGCTGGTAAGCTGGCTCTTAATGCGCGATGTGGCCTTGAAAAGAGTGTCCCTTCCAGCGCCTGGCTTCAAGAACGACTTTCAAAGCTTGTCAGATCGTTGGTCGACCCTGATCGCGTACGTTCGGGCCTATGAGCTTTCTATGGGGTAACTTGGTGATACTACATGCAGCACTGTCGCAAAGTAAATAGGATCAGGGGTCTGTGCGCTCTGATGCTGTGATGGGTGCAGGCCATGACTGATCGACCCACATGTGGTGAGGTGGAGGTGGTTGACGGCCGCCAGTGATCAGTGCAAACATTGAGCGTACCAGGCTGAACCGCCGCCCAGCATGCAGTCTCTTTGTTCTCTGATCACCTGCCTCGCTGAGCGGCCAACCAATTCCGTCAGTGAGGTGTTGATCAGCCACACCATGCCAAATGGCTGTGTGGGTGTGCAACCACCTCTGACTTGATGCCGGTACGCTACACAACCGCCATGCATGCAACATATCGTGTAAGCAATTGGGTCGCTGTCTATGGCAGATCTGGCCCTTGTACGATGGTGTCTTGTGACAATGTACGGTCTACCCTACAAGACCTGCAATCAGGCCAACCTTTGGAAGCGATCCACAGCGTATTTACCTCCTTTTGTTTGTGAAGTGTGTGCCCACCCTGTGTCTGCTGACTATGGGTTGCGGCAGGGTCGGGTGCATACGGTAGTGGCGGCAAATGCAACAGCTGTGATGCTGCAAACACAGGCGGTGCAGAAAGGACAGCAAAAGTGGTAGCGGGAGTTGTGCTCAGAGTTTATCCATACACATTTACCGTAGCCATGCTACCGTACCCTTTGCTTGCAGGGGGCCTGTCTCAAAAACGACCAGCCTCACATGTGGGTGACGTATCAGTCAACCGGCATTGTTCAGGGCGTGTCACCTGACTCGCTGCCTCCCAATACAATGGCCTGTCGCAGGTGCTGGTAGCTACACTTTGCTGTTCAGTATTGGGCTCGCAGAGCCAGATCGTCGTGCACCGCGGAGCCAGGCTTGTGTGGGCCTCCTTGGGGCAACATGGCGCCGTGGACCAAGGTTCTCTCGCAGTCACTGCAGGAGCTGAGGTGCGCGGCAGCTTGGATTGACATGCTGCTGCATTGTGCTGCTTTGCTGCAGGCAGGGCAGCCAGTAGAGCCGCTCACCATCTGTGACTGGCCGCTTTGCAGGGTACACCTTTGCCAGACATCCCCGGCTAGCAAAGGCATCAGGTATGAGGGGCAGCGGGCGTCCAGATCTGCTGGCAATCATTTTTGGTAGCAGCGGGTCTGAGCAGACCGTTTTGCTCGCAGGGAGTTTCTCATCGGTAACTACACGGAGATGAAGAAGGCGAACCCGGACTTCCCCATCCTAGTGCGGGAGTGCAGCGGCGTCGAGGCCAAGCTTATAGCCCGATACGGTGGGTGCGCGTGCGGGAAGACGGCCTAGAGCCAGGATCCGGCCTCGCGTCAGGAGGCGTGCAACCACTTTGAGCCATGGCAGCGGCATGCAAGCTGGTTGAGTCGCAGCAGCAGCAGCAGCAGCAGCAGCAGCAGCAGCAGCAGCAGCAGCAGGCGACATGGGGAGCCCAGTGCAGCAACCGCCCGTCAGCCCGGGAACGCCTTGCATCCCAGATCCTTTGCACTGCAAAGATGCAGCTAGCGAGCAGCGACCCTGCAAAGCCACTGGCTGACCGCCGCCGCCGCCCCCCCCCCTTTGGCCCCTTGCACGGCTGCTGTCCGCAGACTTTGGCGTGGAGAAGTCTGTCTCGGTCGAAGGCTTGGATCCGGGGAATGTGGCCAAGAAGCTGCAGGAGCTGCTCAGCGAGGGCGCAAAGCTGCCGAGGTGCGAAGACGCCCGCGCACATCCGAGTGCGCGCAGCCGCCTGCGCTCAGCGGTCGGAAGCTGGCGGTTGCAGATAGAGCCAGTGCAGGCGGCATGGGGGGCGACTGTGCAGGACAAGGTTCGGAGCGCCTGCATGAAGCAAACTGGTTTGAAAACTAGCGATCCGTGTGCAACGTACTTAGGTTTGTGGGAAGTAGCTGGCCAGGGCGTTTCGCAAGGTCAACGTGTTCTGCCAACTGAAGCACACAACACAGCTGTCGCCCCTCCGTTGACTCGTCGTGCCCCGCTCTCCTAGGTCGGGCGAGTGAAGCCTTCCAGCAGCAGCAAAAGCAGCAGTGGCAGCAGCAGCAGCTTATTGACTTGGCAGCAGGCTGGACGGCTTGGACCTGGTGGCGCCAGTTGCAGGCTTATCTACCACCCGTTTTCTTGACTCTTTCAAGTTGTTTGTCATTTCTTTTTGTTTCATACGGTTTGGGTGTACATCAAAAGAACACTTGTAATTCTCCATAACTCAAACTGCAACCGCCTCATTGCCATGTGTGCAACACGTCATTCCTTTGGATTACAAAATGAACAACCAGGGCGCCTGAACAAAAACAATGCAACAATTGTTTTCGCTGGTCACAATTGCAGTGCTGGGATAGTATAGTATGAGCTCGCAGGATGTTCGTCGCCGCAGACTGTGACGGCTGCATGCCAGGCTGGGCAGCATCCTGACGTGCATGCGCTGAGGTGCGCAGAGGTAGCATGCAAGCAAGGACGGCCGCACGCGCGCCGTAGCAGCCCAAACTATGAAATCTTGGGCGGCCCTCAATGACCGCAGGCGGAGAGAGAGCAGTCCTGAATGGGCCTGCCTGTTGTGTCAACTTCTTGATTCACGCGCCCGTGCCTGCTGTGGCCATCTGAGCAGCGTGGGTCAAGCTCACCACCAGAGGATGCGAGTAAACAGTGACCTGGCCGAACCCGCCAGCTGCTTGATGCGGTCAGTCAGCCACGACAGGGGCCTCCAAGCCCACGGACTGCTGCTGGCCGGCGCAGGCGCGGCTGCAGTGGGGACCGCGCTGCTCGGCACGGGCTTGACGATGCTGGTGCCGACAGCAGGGGCCTTTGCCTCCGCCAGCGCCACCTTTGGTGTTGGGGTGGCGGCCTGCTGCGCGCTGCGCTCCTGCTGCACGATTGCGTGCGTGCGGGCCTGAAGCGCCTTTGGCAAATCAAATGGGGTGGGGGTGATGAAGGCGCTTGCTGGGGATGGAATAAGGCCCTGCAAGGCAAGCGGGGCGAGGAGGGAAGGAAAGTGCGTCATTGGGCGTGCGCATGAAGCCAAGCTCATTAGATCGTCACAAGAACTCCTGTGAACAGTGATGGGAAGCATAAGTGGTATTGTTCGGTGCCCTCGTCATCACGTCGTTTCGACCAAACAACAATCGCAACCAGGCCGGCACACTCCCCCCCGCTGCTCACCGGCGGGTCAGACGACACAGGCTTGCCCAAGAAACTGTGCACCTTGGCGGGG